AAAAGGGATCGTTTAAAAGTCGGGGTCGTAAAGGCAACAGCTCGAACAAACGAAATCAATTATTCTTCCCCCTCCCGTGCTCGCGTGTCAGCACTCTGAACAAGGTTTTGTCGTATTTACAGTATAAACAAAAGGTTCTTAGGGTTAAGTATACTTATTTCGCATAGGTATTAAAACTGCAAAAGATACCAACTCTTTGGGTTCTTTAGTGCCGTTAACAAATGTATTAAACCCAATAAAAAAAGACCGCAGAGTGTTTAGCGTTTAAAACACACACATACAGACAGTCACACAAAATTAATCCTCACCGAATTTGAGTGCGAAGATTACTCACCAGGTGACAGAGCTCGACGCCGAACGGCCAGTACTGCAGCAGGAGCGTCGGCACGAAGCTAAAGGGCACGCACAGCAGGGTCATGAGGATGTCGCCGACGGCGAGGTTCAGCAGCCAGTAGTTGGTGGAGGTGCGCATGCGCGGCGAGGACACGACGCAGTACATGACGAGGCCGTTGCCCACGAGCGCCACGACGAACACGCTCGAGTACATGAGGTAGACGGCCACCTGCGGGGCACGGGGAGAAAGACGGACGTTAGGACCACGTTAGCACCAAAGGGCAAGCTGTGAGCTATGTGCGTGCGCCTCCTTCGGCTGCACTTTGCTCTTTGCGACGAGGCACTGGTCCTCTCCTCGGGCGCTCACCTGGAATGCGGGGGACGTCGGCACGGTGGCGTCGCAGTCCACGGGCACGGCGTCGGTCCAGTTGAGCGGCGCCCAGGCCAGGCCGGGCGGGCCGCCCTGCTGGTGGACGCCCTGCTGCTCCGCGTACGGACCCTCCATCATCGGCGTCCTGCCCTGCAGCCAGAGATTGGTTGGTTGATTAAATTGATTGATTAATAAGAGGTACAAAAGGACTGACTGAGAAGTCCAACTAGAGTACAAGCAGAGTGGTTAAAAGTATCACCACCACAGGGTTAGTAACCAGAGAGAGAAAGAGAGAGAAAGCAGAGAGAGAGAGAGAGGAGCGTTCCGCTCGTCAATACGCAATCACAGGCTAAACAAACAAGACACCCGGGCAACGCAGAGGAGCAGCTCCACCACCAGACGCGGCTGCAATGCAAACATTCCACATTCCCCGACCTTAGACTCCTCCCCCAGGTGCGTCAGAGCAGAGCCAGTTTAATTTACATCGAGGCATCCGTCGGCCAACTCGGGGCCAGTGCCTCCAAAAGGGCAGGTTGTTGCACGCCACTCGCTTTTGCGCCTATGCTTTTACATGGGCGGAGGGAGGAGGGAGTAGCCCGCAACAGTCCGCATTTGTGGAGGCACTGCTCGGAACACCCGCAGCCCATTCGCGGTATCGGGACGGGGCCTTTGTAGGGGAGGCTGGCGCGCCGGCTCGCTGCACTGCGCCGCGCGAGCCAAGCGCACCAAGCATCTAGTATATCGGCGAGCTTTCCAAAGGGGAGTGGGGATGGGGCGGGCCTCCCTCCTCCCAGGGGCGCTATTCGTCGTGGTTTCAATGAGCTCAGTTTCAAACGCCCACCTGTGCGCCAATGACCCGATCTGCATTCACCGGCATTCACCCCCACGCACCAAACCACCTCCCCCCCCCTCCTCCCGCTCCTTTTCCTCCTATCAGGCCACCCCTGGCGCCAATGTTATGTTGAGCCAAATTAGATTGCAGGAGGGTGCGTAACGGGGAGGAGGAGAGTGAGAATGCTGCGGGTAATCGACTGATGTAGGAGATAGTGAGGGAGAGAAATAAACCTGTGAACGACTTATTTTAACGATATGAATGAGGTAGTATGGAAAGCTGGAGGCGTGCGCGTGACTCTCGGCGGCGCCCCCGCCCCCCTCCCCCTCTTGAGCACGGGGGCACATCCGAGCTGGAGCAGGGGAGGGACGAAGTGGGGGG